AAATATTAAAAGATTTAAGAATCATTATACTGGAATTTCACCTAAATAATCTAGCATATTCTGTGGGACAGAATGGTATGAAGGCAATGAACTTTTTAGTCACACTTAGTTTTTTGAATTGTTACTCATCCATTTGTGTGAAATGAAAAGTTTTATGAGGCTCTATACCATCTGTTAACAGAAAGAGTAGCTATGTTGTGAGCCTTAAAGGATGTAACTTATAGTTTCTGATACTTGGCCTAGTGTAGTGATTTAGTAAATAAGATCATTTTTTAGAAGAGGAATTGAATCTCTAAGATGTGACATGTATTTGCTACCTGTACAAAATTCTGTAGTTTTGAATTAGACTGCCAACCCCTGTGTCTTCTGGATTATATCTTTCAGAAAAGTAATATTCAGTAAGTTATTCTGCCTGCCTGTGTATTTGTTGAGTATCTTACGCATACTTGAAAGGGCTTAAAATCTTTAGGGAGAAAGAAAGAATTTAATGCCCATCTTGGGAAACATTTTTAATAAGTGAGCAAAGATAAATATAAATATAATGCAGTTTTTATACTAGAGAACTTGTAGTGAGGTGGGCTTATCTAATAATTACAGCTAATATACTTAGTGCTGTATAAGGGGTGGTACCTTCTTGGGGCAGAGGTAGGGTTAGTTGAACTGGGTTACAAGATATATATAGCTTGCCAAGATTTTAGCAGAGGAGGAATGACTTTCGGGCAGAAATAATACAAATGAATGCAAAGGCCTGAAAGCAGTCCTATTTATGAGAACTCTGGGTTGTGTACATGTAGTAAGCCGGTCAGAGGAGTGTCTCCTGTGGTTATTGAAGAGATGGCAGTTGAGATCTTCTTACATGATCGGTGTTATTTCAGCATATGAAGATAAAATGGATAGGATAACAGAAACTGACATAGGTAAAGTTGCTTAGCAGAATGTAAGTTACTTATGTATCAGTTCAGTTCAGTCACTCAGTCATGTCCGTCTCTTTGCGACCCCATGGACTGCAGCATGCCAGGCCTCCCTCTCTGTCATCGACTCCCGGGATTTATTCAAATTCATGTCAATCAAGCCGGTGATGCTGTCCAGCCATCTCATTCTCTATCGTCCCCTTCTCCTCCCACCTTCAATTTTTCCCAGCTTCAGGGTCTTTTCAAATGAGTCAGTTCTTCGCATCAGATGGCTAAAGTAGGGAACCATGAATAGTCACAGTGGCTTGACTGCTACTTACTCCTGAACACTCACACTGAAAACAGAACAGTTTAGACATTGATTTTTTCTGAGAAATCGTCAGGAAGTTTTGCATATCTCATTGGAGCTTCTATGTGAGAGAATTTTTTGTGGGGAGGAGGATGTGGGAGCAGTTTCTCCAGACTTCCCTTGTGTAAGATAAAGTGCTAAAAATATTTCAGCAGTGGAGCAGATATGGCTTGGGATATCAAATGTAATAGTGTAAAATTTATTTGGTATCCATTAGAGGTCCATTGTAGCATTTTGAACAGTGGATGACATACTATTTTATCTAGGTGATTTACCTGACCGTGCCAGATGGAATTGGAGAAGATCATGACAGAAGCAGTAAGTTTAGGACTGAAGTGATTAAGGCTTGACTAAGGAATGATGGTAGTGGGAATGGAAAAAAAGGCATCATGAAAGGAATTTCTAAAAAACCATTTGACAGTTTTGAAGAAATGATTGAAGATAAGATTTGAAAGACAAGCAGAGGAGTTGGAAATGTTGAAATTTCATTCTTGAATGACTAGGAAATTTTTGATATCAGCAAGTGATAAAACATTAGCAGGAGAAGTAATTGTGGGAAAAAGGTGAAATTGTTATTTGTTATTTATTGAATGTGAGGTTAATTACAAGTCTACTTTAGAACATGTCAGTATGCCTCTGTAAAAGTGATTTTTTTTAAATTACGGTGTAATTTGTAATTTTTAGTAGATAGGCAAGGTAGTCTTTTTCTTTCCTTCCAGTTTTATGGGATAATAATAAATATTTATTATCCTTCCAGTTTTATTTATTGTATATATATAAATTTATACAATTTACATACAGCACTGTATAAATTTAAGGCATAATTATTTGGCTTACATCATGAAGTGATAAAGCACAATAAATTTAGTGACCAACCATCATCTCATGTAGCTAGAAAGTTAAAGAAATAGAAAAAAATGTTTTTCTTGTGATGAGAATGCTTAGGATTTACTCTTAACAGCTTTCATACATAACATGTGTGTCACTCAGTTGTGTATGATAGTGTTTATTTATCATGTTGACATTACATCCCTAGTACTTATTTGTCTTATAACTGGAGGTTCCTCCATTTTTTTTTCTTTTTTTAAATCTATTTATTTTAATTGGAGAATAATTAAAATATTGTGATGGTTTTTGTCATACATCAGTATGAATCAGCCATAGTTATACATGTGTCCCTTCCACCTCCCCCCAACCTGTCCCTCCAGGTTGTCACAGAGCACTGGCTTTGGGTGCCCTGCATCATACATCAAACTCACACTGGTTGTCTGTTTTACATATGGTAACATATATGTTTCAGTGCTATTCTCTCAAATCATCCCACCTTCTCCTTCTCCCACCGAGTCCAAAGATCTGTTCTCTATATCTGTGTTTGCTTTGCTACTCATTGGTACCATCTTTCTCGATTCCATATATATGCCTTAATTTACAATATTTGTCTTTCTCTTTCTGACTTGCTTCACTTTGCTTAATAGTCTCTAGATTCATCTGCCTCATTAAATCTGATTCAAATGTGTTCCTTTTTATAGCTTTTGAGTAATATTCCTTTTGCACTCTCATCCTTTTGAGTAATATTCCATTTTGTATATGTATGACAACTTCCTTACCTATTCATCTGCTAGTAGACATCTAGGTTGCTTCCATGTCCTAGCTATTGTAAATAGTGCTGCAGTGAACATTGGGATACATGTGATGTGTCTTCCAATTCTGGTTTCCTCAGGGTATATGCCCAGTAGTGGGATTGCTGAGTTGTGTGGTAGTTTTATTCCTATTTTTTTAAGGAAACTTCATACTGTTCTGCATAGTGGTTTTATCAGTTTGCATTCCCACTAGCAGTGTAAGAGGGTTCCCTTTTCTCTACAGCCTCTCCAGCATTTATTGTTTGTAGACTTTTTGATAATGGCCATTCTGACCAGTGTGAGATGATTCCTCACTGTGGTTTTGATTTGCATTTCTCTAATAATAAGCGATGTTGAGCATCTTTTCATGTGTTTATTGGTCATCTGTATGTCTTTTTTGGATAAGTGTCTGTTTAGGTCTTCTGCCCACTTTTTTGATTGGCTTGTTTGTTTTTCTGTTACTAAGCTGCATAAGCTGCTTGCATATTTTGAAGATTAATTCTTTGCAGATGTTTCCATTGTTATCATTTTCTCCCATTCTGAGTGCCATCTTTTCACCTTACTTATAGTTTCCTTTGTTGTGCAAAATTTGTTAAGCTTAATTAGGTCCCATTTATTTGTTTTTATTTCCATTACTGTGGGTTGTGGGTCATAAAGGATCTTGCTGTGATTTATGTCAGAGAATGTTCTGCCTATATTTTCTTCTAAGAGTTTTATAGCTTCTAGTCTTACATTTAGGTCTTTAACCCATTTAGAGTTTATTTTTGTGTATGGTGTTAGATAGTGTTCTAATTTCATTGTTTTATATGTAGTTCATCAGTTTTTGGAAAACCACACCACTTGTTGAAGAAACTCTCTTTTCTCCATTGTATATTTTTGCCTCTTTTGTCAAAGTTAAAGTGTCCATAGGTGCAAGGATTTATCTCCATGCTTTCTGTTTTGTTCCATTTGCTCTATTTTTCTATTTTTGTGCCAGTACCATACTGTTTTGTTGACTGTAGCTTTGTAGTATAGTCTGAATTGAGGAAGGTGGATTCCTCCAGTTCTGTTCTTCTCCCCTCAGCCCTCGTCTCTAGGAACCACAAATCTGATCTATTTTACTGTGAGTTTGTTTGTTTTTGAAGTATAATCAACCTAAAACTCTTTAAGTTGAACTAATCTAAGTGTTAGGTTAGTTCTCTTACCCAAAGTAGTGATTTGGTATTTCTGTACATTTTAAAATAATCACCACAGTAAGTCCTATTACCATCTGTCACCATACAATGTTATTACATATTTATTGACTGTATTCTTCACCCTGTGCATTTCATATCCATGAGTCATTTACTTTACAGCTGGATGTTTGTAGTTGTTAATATCCCTCACCTATTTCTGTCCTTCCCCTCCTCCCCTCCCTTGGTAATGTAGTCTTGTATCAGTGGCATAAGTTTTCAAAACAGGCTTGTATTCTAGATCACCTTTAATAAGTATCACTGTTATGAGACTGGGAAGTCATTGATCTTTTTGGATTTTCCCTTGTTCACCTTTAAATTGGAAATAGTAATACCTGATTACAGGGCAGTTGTGTAAACTGTTTAGTATAATGTATATGCATGCTGGCCTAAAGCCCTCAGTAAATGTTAGTTTTCCCTTCCTCCTTAGAAGATGCCAGCCTTATTTACTCTTGACTGTTTTCACACATTAAGATGGACATCAAAGAAAAACACATAAAGCATTTTTGTTTCATTGGTTAGCAGTTCACTGAAGGCATAACCATAATTGTTTGCTAAATATGTGTATAACAAGGCAGTTTGTAATTAGACTAACTCAGATGTTGTGATTATTGAATGTGTAGGTGTAGTTAACAGCCTTCATTTCTGGTAAGTGACTTACTTAGGAGGATGTATGCTCATGTAAGCAAGAAAGACTATTTCCTGGGAGGAAATTGTGGTCTACAGATCTTTATAATGTCACCTTTAATCTTTTTGTACTCATGAGCATTGTCCTATATAGACTATTTTCTTGAGGCAGTTTCTTGCTTGAAGTAAATGAAGTCTCCTTATGAGCCTGTTGAAACTACACAGACTGTCAGCAATATGGAAAAATTGGATGTTTAACCAGGAATGTGAACATGTGTTTCAGGTAGAGAATTCCAAAGATAATGAAGATAATATTCTACAAAGAGAAATTCCTGCCAGACAGTCTCGAAGAAGGTTTCGGAAAATTAATTGTAAAGGAGAACGCCAGACTATTACTGATGATGTGGACATTAACAGCTATCTTTCTGTGAGTATATTTAGGAACATTTCATTGGTATTCCTTAATGTTCATATATAGTATGAACATACATATTTTTGGTAATATCAGCATATATTTTTGGTAATAAACACTTGGGGCTCTACACATAAAAGTTTGGGGCACGTAAAGATATCTGTATAATTTTTTAAAATGTTTCTGCTGTGTTGACTTTAATAGAAATACCAGTAGGGTATTTGTTTTTGTTTAAATGGTGTAAAAGAATTTTTTTAATCTATCTTTTTAGACATGCTTGTGGATTTTCTTACCTTTTTGTTGCTTGAACAGTATGTCCGGAGTGCATGTGTGCCCAGAAAACTCAGAAAATAGACTCATTTGGGAGCTTTTTTTTCTTTTATGCCCTAAGGCATAAAAAAATAAAAAATAAAAAAATAAAAGAAATAAAAAATATGTCAATTCTTCCCTTCAGGTGTGGGGCAGTTATGCTACTGTATGCTAGTGCAGAAATACATGCAAGTGTTAAAGGTATGTTTTCACAGGCAAATACTGAAAGATGATAAAATAAACAACTTCCATAAAACCAGAAAATCTTTTCAAGTCTTTAATATTGAAATGATAGATACCGCTTTTCAGATTGAAAAGTATTGGGTTGGCCAAAAAGTTTTTTCTGGATTTCCCCTATGATCTTACAGGAAAAACTTGAACAAACTTTTTGACTAATGCAATAATTGAATTAAGGAATAAGGATAATTTAAGAAAGAATAAATCCAGGTGTGTTTTATAAGTTTTCAAAGGAAACTTGATCCCTCAAAATATAAAAACAGCCTAGAGATTTAGGGTATCAAAATTCTCAAGGGTATATATTCTTTTGGTTGTCAGAAACAAATTCATTCCATCTTAGAAATAAGGAGGATTATTTAGGGAGTTGTTTGTGTTAGAGTGTTAAATTTGAGCAGCTGTAAGGATTTAGTTATTATTTGCCTCATTTCTTTGATAGAGCACATTCTGACAACAAACAATAACATATGAAGTAGTCCTCAAATTTTTTATTACATGAAGTTCATTTCCTGTTTTTATTATTTCATGGTTTTTTTGTTTTGTTTTTTGGCTGTACCATTTAGTTTGCAGATCAGATATTGAACTTGGGGCCTTGGCAGTGAAAGTGTCAAGTCTTAACCACTGGACTGCCAGGGAATTCCCACTTGTTATTTAGTAACTTTCCCGGTCACTAATTAACAGTAGCTAATTCAAGTTGTAATTAAGTTTGGACTTATTACACAAATGATTCTTACCTATTTTTGAAAAATTAAAAATTGATTAGTCCCATCACTCAGTTATGGAACTACTACTGACATTTTGTATATTCTTGGATAGAACTTTTCTGGGTCTTTGTGGTTCCATATGAATTTTAGCATTTTTTCCCCTAATTCTATGAAGAATTTCCTATGTATTTTGTTAGAAATTACATTAAATCTGTAGACTGGCATTTTAACAATATTAGTTCTTCCACTAAGAGCATGAGCTATCTTTCCACTGCTTTGTATCATCTTCATTTTCCTTTATCAGTGTTTTATAGTTATCAATATATAGGTCATTCACTTCCTTGGTTAAATTTATTCTTAGGTATTTTGCTTTTCTAGCATAATTTTAAACAGGAATTTTTTTCCTTTTTCTTTGATATTTCATTGCTAGTGTAAAGAAATAAAACCAGTATCTGTATTTTAATCTTGTATACTACTACCTTGCCAGATATATTTATTAGCTCTAAAAGGGTTTGTGCCTGAATAATTTAGGGCTCTTTATAGAAAGTATCATGTCATCTGAAAATAGTAACAGTTTTACCTCTTCCCTTCCAGTTTGGATACCTTTTATTTTTTTTCTTGTCTTATTTCTATGACAGGGACTTCCAATAGTGTTTTGTCCAGAAGTGGTGAGTGGGCATCCTCATATTATTCCTGAATTTAGTGGGAAGATTTTCAGCTTTTCACTGTTGAGTGTGATGGATTTGTCATAAATGACTCTTTGTTATGTTGAACTGTGTTCTCTCTCTACCCTCTTTGGTGAGAGCTTTTTCATGAAGAGATGTTGAATTTTGTCAAATGCTTTTTTTCCCCATCATATGGTTTTTTTCCTCTCCTTTCGTTTAGTGTGGTATATCACAGTGATTGATTCGCGTATGTTGAACTGTCCTTGAAACCCTGAAATGAATCCACCTTCATCGTTCTATATGATCCTTTTTATATATTTTTGGATTTGATTTGCAGATATTTTTTGAGGGTTTTAACATCTCTATTCATCAAAGATATTGGCCTGTAATTTTCTTTTCTTGTAGTGTATTTGGCTGATTTTGATAGCAGTGTGATTGTAGCTTACTACAGTGAATTTGTCAGTGTTCCTTCTATTTTGGAATAGTTAGATAAGGATGGGTATAAGTGTTAGTAGCAAATGTCTTTATCAGTATTGATACAGTAGATAATTGGTTTAATGATTACCATAGGATCTTTATTTCTTTTGTGGGCATTATCAGCAGTTCAGAGAGATCAGGAGGAATCATTTTTTTAAAAAAAAAATTTAATTTATTTATTTGACTACGCCAGGTCTTAGTTGTGGCACATGCATGTTCAGTCTTACTTGTGGCATGTGGGATCTAGTTACTCAACCAGGGATTGAACTTGGGCCCCTTGCATTGGGAGTATGGAGTTTTTAGCCACTGGACCACCATGTAAGTCCCAGAATCATTATTTAAGATAGTGGTGGAAATTGACAGTTTCTTTTTTCCTTTTTTTTTTTTAGTTTTTAATTTTTTTTCCCATTTATTTTTATTAGTTGGAGGCTAATTACTTTACAATATTGTAGTGGTTTTTGCCATACATTGACATGAATCAGCCATGGATTTACATGTATTCCCCATCCCGATCCCCCCTCCCACCTCCCTCTCCACCCGATCCCTCTGGGTCTTCCCAGTGCACCAGGCCCGAGCACTTGTCTCATGCATCCAACCTGGGCTGGTGATCTGTTTCACCCTAGATAATACACATGTTTCGATGCTGTTCTCTCGAAACATCCCACCCTCGCCTTCTCCCACAGAGTCCAAAAGTCTGTTCTGTACATCTGTGTCTCTTTTTCTGTTTTGCATATAGGGTTATCATTACCATCTTTTAAAATTCTATATATATGTGTTAATATACTGTATTGGTCTTTTATCTTTCTGGCTTACTTCGCTCTGTATAATGGGTTCCAGTTTCATCCATCTCATTAGAACTGATTCAAATGAATTCTTTTTAATGGCTGAGTAATATTCCATGGTGTATATGTACCACAGCTTCCTTATCCATTCATCTGCTGTTGGGCATCTAGGTTGCTTCCATGTCCTGGCTATTATAAACAGTGCTGTGATGAACATTGGGGTGCACGTGTCTCTTTCAGATCTGGTTTCCTCGGTGTGTATGCCCAGAAGTGGGATTGCTGGGTCATATGGCAGTTTTATTTCCAGTTTTTTAAGGAATCTCCACACTATTCTCCATAGGGGCTGCACTAGTTTGCATTCTTACCAACAGTGTGAGAGGGTTCCCTTTTCTCCACACCCTCTCCAGCATTTATTGCTTGTAGACTTTTGGATAGTAGCCATCCTGACTGGCGTGTAATGGTACCTCATTGTGGTTTTGATTTGCATTTCTCTGATGATGAGTGATGTTGAGCATCTTTTCATGTGTTTGTTAGCCATCTGTATGTCTTCTTCGGAGAAATGTCTGTTTAGTTCTTTGGCCCATTTTTTGATTGGGTCATTTATTTTTCTGGAATTGAGCTGCAAGAGTTGCTTGTATATTTTTGAGATTAATCCTCTGTCTGTTGCTTCATTTGCTATTATTTTCTCCCAATCTGAGGGCTGTCTTTCCACCTTGCTTATAGTTTCCTTTGCTGTGCAAAAGCTTTTAAGTTTCATTAGGTCCCATTGGTTTATTTTTGCTTTTATTTCCAATATTCTGGGAGGTGGGTCATAGAGGATCCTGCTGTGATTTATGTCAGAGAGTGTTTTGCCTATCTTCTCCTCTAGGAGTTTTATAGTTTCTGGTCTTACATTTAGATCTTTAATCCATTTTGAGTTTATTTTTGTGTATGGTGTAAGAGAGTGTTCTAGTTTCATTCTTTTACAAGTGGTTGACCAGTTTTCCCAGCACCACTTGTTAAAGAGGTTGTCTTTTTTCCGTTGTATAGTCTTGCCTCCTTTGTCAAAGATGAGGTGTCCATAGGTGCGTGGATTTATCTCTGGGCTTTCTGTTTTGTTCCCATTGATCTATATTTCTGTCTTTGTGCCAGTACCATACTGTCTTGATGACTGTGGCTTTGTAGTAGAGCCTGAAGTCAGGCAGGTTGATTCCTCCAGTTCCATTCTTCTTTCTCAAGATTGCTTTGGCTATTTGAGGTTTTTTGTATTTCCATACAAATTGTGAAATTATTCGTTCTACTTCTGTGAAAAATACCATTGGTAGCTTGGTAGGGATTGCATTGAATCTATAGATTGCTTTGGGTAGTATAGTCATTTTGACAATATTGATTCTTCCAATCCATGAACACGGTATATTTCTCCATCTGTTTGTGTCCTCTTTGATTTCTTTCATCAGTGTTTTATAGTTTTCTATGTATAGGTCTTTTGTTCCTTTAGGTAGATATACTCCTAAGTGTTTTTATTCTTTTTGGTTGCAATGGTGAATGGTAATGTTTCCTCAATTTCTCTTTCTGTTTTCTCATTGTTAGTGTATAGGAATGCAAGGGATTTCTGTGTGTTAATTTTATATTCTGCAACTTTACTATATTCGTTGATTAGCTCTAGTAGTTTTCTGGTAGAGTCTTTAGGGTTTTCTATGTAGAGGATCATGTCATCTGCAAACAGTGAGAGTTTCACGTCTTCTTTTCCTATCTGGATTCCTTTTACTTCTTTTTCTGCTCTGATTGCTGTGGCCAAAACTTACAAAACTATGTTGAATAGTAGTGGTGAGAGTGGGCACCTTTGTCTTCTTCCTTATTTTAGG